GAGAGAAAGGGGGAGAGAGAGAGAGAGAGACACACACACACACAGAGTTTCAGATAGATAGCGAGAGAGAGACAGAGATTGCGTGTGTGTGCCTGCTCGCCCAGTCAGATGTTTGCAGTTGTTGTGCGCAGCATGATGTTAAGTTCACGATGCACCATCACCCGACCTTCAAAGTTGATCTGCCGGCCGCATGCAAGCTTCCTGTTCGAGATTGTTCATTGGTCAGACCAACGATTGAACTATCATCCATCAGTTGCAAGTCAAGCTATGGTTCCTTCGGTCAATGTCAACCATCCAACAAAGTTTTTATCTAATCGCACGAGGAGCAATTACCTCGTTGAGCAAAACTTAGGATTTTGTGTACTGTGCTCAGATGTGCAGCCGAAGTTTAGGATTGTGACTCGTTGTCATGTCAGAGTCATCATGTCAGAGTCAGTGTGTTGTGTAGAGATCTGATGTGACGGACGGATCCGTGAGACATCATGGTGAAACGAAAGAAACAACAGACATCGTCTGCAGAGTCTGGGTCGGGCGACGAGGGTTCATCCTGTTCGAGTGAATCAGAATCCGGATCTTATGGTGAGTCAGAGTGTGGCTCGTCCTCCGATGGTGGATCAGAGAACGGCTCCTCCTATGGCGGGTCAGAGAACAGCTCCTCCTATGGTGGGTCAGATTCCGGCTCGGCATCTATGCGGGCCCCAAAGATTGCAAGCTTTAGCTTGAGCCAGGTTTTGTTTGGCGATGAAGACTCCGACTCGGAAGATGCTTACCAGTCCAATGGTAAATCAGCCAAACGTGTTCGGAAGGCTTTGAAGACTTCGTGCTGTGCCCGGCGGTGCAAGCGCCAGCTTGCATTTAAAACAGTCATGTGCTTGGTGGTTTCGTTTTGGGCTCTGTCCAAGTCGGCGCAGGATGCGCTTCTTTGGAGCCTTCAGCATCCAATGTGGACACCTCCGGATGAGGACGAGGAGAGCTCCAGTTCCAGCACCTCTGCTGGCAGCTCCGCGACGGGATCGAAGTCTGCAAAAAGGGTGGTTTGGTACCTTGAAGGTGGGGTGGCCACGGGTTGTCAAGCCTGCAATGCAGCCGTTTGTGCTTGTGTTGTCATTGTCTGTTCTGGGCAGGCCACAGAGTCTGCAGAGCTGCATTCGTGAAGATTTTGGGTATTTCGGCGAAACGACTTGTTCGATGCCGTCACACATTTCGGGGACAAGATCTGAGGAGATTTCGTGCCTGGTCGGTTTTTAGACTTCTAAGATCACTGATGTAGAATCGGATTCGCATGAAGATGTCAAGTTCACACGTCAAGGCCAGCCAATTTCGTGGAGTCCAATGTATGCATCCTGCGTTTCTTTCATCGAGAAACTTTATTGGGGCATAGCCGAGCCCTTGCCGAACCAGCTCCTCGTCCTTCACACGAAGAGTCGTGGCTGGTAAAATTCGAATCAGTAGTAGCAGTGACAGTAGCAGCAAGCAGTAGCAGCAGTAATTGTAGCAATACTGGCAGTTGGTAGTAGTAGCTTGGTGGTAGTAATAATAGTAGTAGTAGTAGCAGCAGTAGCAGTAGCAGTAGTAGTAGTAGTAGTAGTAGTCAGTAGTAGTAGTAGTAGTAGTAGTAGTAGTCGTAGTAGTCTTAGAAGCAGTAGTAGTAGTAGTAGTAGTAGTAGTAGTAGTAAAGTAGTAGTAAAGTAGTAGTAAAGTAGTAGTAGTAGTAGTAACTAGTCGTAGTAGTAGTCGTTGTCGCCGGTGCCAGTACTGCCACTGCTCGGCTGCGGTTCCCGGGGTGCATTTGGTAGTGTTATTATTATTACTGTTATTGCCATGACTAGAAGAAGAAGTAGTAGTAGTACTAGTAGTAGTAGGAGGTCGCAGCAGCAGTGGTGTGAGAAAAGACCCAGAGTAGCACATACATGTGTGGCAGCTTTTGCTGAACTATGAGCTGTTGCAGGCTGAAAGTCAAAGAGGGGCTGACTGGCGATATGATCTCGACAGATAAGTTCCAAGCTGACATTCTCAAATGTATGCTGGATGTGGCATTGCAGGACGAGTTGCAAGGCATTTTGCCCCCGAAGCATCTTCCGGTTAAATATCTTCCACCAGGCAAGCGTTCAGATCTTTATCATTTATACATGTCCTCCTGTCTGTCGACTGGTGTCCGAGCGGCCTCAATCAAAACATTTTACAGAGCCTTCAAGTCATCGGGCTATGAGCGCATCCTAAGATTCAGGCACAAAACGCAGCACACACAATGTGCGGTATGCCATCGCCTCAAAGCCGCAATCGCGCACGCGCGTGACTTCGTGGAGCATGCAAAGTTTTGTGACGACTATCATCGCCATTTGGCTGGCATGTTTGCTGACCGAAAAGTATATGCAAGCCTTCGAGCAAGAGCTGCTCGTCAGCAAATTACTAATTTCATCGGCTTCAATGCTGCATCGTTTACAAGCAAAGTTAGAAACTGAAGCTTTTCTTGGTGCGAAAGGTGCACAGAAACCGGGACATTTTGCTGGGGATCGTCGATGGAATGGACCGTGCCAAGTATGCCCTACCCCGCTGGCACAATCTGAGAACACCAAAGGGGGCAGACAAGAAGCAGCGTCCGTCTCTTGATGTGTATGCTGTTATATTGCACGGCCGGTCTGTGAACATATTCATAACTGATGAGAACCAGACCACGGGTGCCAACTGGGCGATGGAGATTTGGACGAGGTCAGTTGAGAAAGAGTGGATAAAAGCACAGCAGCATGGGGAGCCTTTCCCGGCACATTGCATTCTATTCGGCGACAACACATCTCGTGAATTGCGCAACAGCTGTGTCAGCAAGGTGTTTTCAGCCATGACGGCGGCCTCTGTTTTTACATCATGCAGCCTGAAACACCTTCCAGTGGGACATACTCATGAAGATGTTGGCTAGGAGCCCAGTTGGGTCATGTTGGGAAATCAATCGTCCTTTTCATGAAGTCGGCATGCCATACCAAGCCCTCACCTTGTATGCCTATGCAATGACATGACTGTGGTGACTAAGATGCTTTCTTTGGCCTGCTGACTTCGATGATCAGTCATGCTGGTATAGATATGTTTGCCGGCAGCAACAGTAGGTGCTTGGTCCTGTGTGGTCTGTGTGGTGGGGGTGTAGGAACCTTGTGGTGTGGGTGCCATCCGAGGCAATGCCCGGCAGATGTGGTGAAATTCTTGAGGCAGAAGCTACAGCGTCTTTTTCAAGACCGGCCCGAAGATGTTCACATCGAGCACGTTACGAACATCCGGGATTTCAAGACGGAAATCCCAGACTCTGCGAAAATTTACAATATCTATCGTAAAAGGAAACATGATGACGACTCAAGCAAAGTGATTCCTCATTCCTTCACTTTTGTTCGCAGAGAAAGATACTTGGGCCAAATTTGATAACTCCAGCCAAGCAGTGATTGGACAGCAGACACAGTATTATTGCTGTAGGCTTCCTGCTTCCGTGTGTCCAAGGTTTGCCTCAGGCATTGCTTCGCGATGTCAAGGAGAATCTGCCACGCAGATTTCCCAAAAACGACGCGGATGTCTTCTGCTATGTCAAGCGATATATCAGTGACATGGATGACAGTCAACCGGCTTTGGTAGTGTTTCCTGGAGCTGCGCTGCCGGCAACCTTGGCTGCTATGACTCGACTGTCTACAGCTACCTGTTCTTGCTGCATGGCTGCAGACTATAACGTCATTGTGTTACTCATTGTCATGCTGTTGTATTGTCGGTGGTAGTGCAAGTCGTTGCCCGAGGTGTGTGTCTACCAGTCTCGCTTCTTCCTTTGAGCCCAGAACTGTTGCAGACCTTATTGAGTGTGCTTGCGCCGAGGCCTTCCCCGTGCCTTGGAAGATGCAAAGACAAATGAGTTCTCCGATCTGGCAGCTTGGTTGGACAAGCGGTATCCTCGGCAGTACCCCCGAGGGATTTTGTATCTCCGGCAGTTGTCCGGAGAAGTTTCGATGCCTCAGGAAAGGCTTCCTGTGCTCCAGTTTTTGAATCCCCAACATGTGCAGGCTAGGGCTGTCCCCCGAATCAACCTGCCCAATCCGCTAGAGAATGATGTGCACAACTTGCGGGTTCAGTTTCACCGTGTGTAGTAGGGCAGACAAGACTTCCGGGCGTGCGGTGTCCTAAATGTGCATCGGTGAATCATCTGAAGCCGCCTTGCATTTCACATGTTGCCGCCTGAAGTATGCACGTGGCATGGAACAGCTTCGTGCTACGGTTGACGAGCTGTGGCTCAGCTCAGCAGTGGATCCTGACAGGAATAGGCCGGCAATGTCTTTGGAGGTGAAGGCAGAGTCGGATGGCAAACCCGAAGCCGGTGCTCTGGCTTCGCAAGCAGATGCAGCATTGGGGCCGGCCATGAGCCAAACGATCAAGGAGAGGATCGAGGTGGCTTTCTTCGAGGTCTGGTTGTGTTTCGTGTGGTGCATTTGGATGACATGCCGTCTGCTATCATTAACCCACCGTTTGGGGTGAGGTCACCAAAGATGCCCACATCGGCGACAAGATCTCGCAGTGGTTTCCACACACTGTGGAGGGCCGAAGCGAGTTTGCGAAGGTGGGCTTGAGAGGGCTGGTGCTATGCGTGAGGTATGATGTGACCTTTGGTTTGCCATTCTAGGCGGGTATCCGAGGTCATGCTGCATTATGTTGGCCTTCCGGAAGTGGCCAAGCATGTGCAGCCCCACCGGGCGATCAACCACATTCCTGGAGACTCCAAGATGGACATGTGGCTCAATCCCTGGATGATAGATTACTCGCGCCAGTGCAAGTACGGCCTCTTGTCTTCAGTCTGGAGCCACCCACTCTGGACTTGTTCAGATGCAGTTCAGTCGTCATTGTGCTGCGGTGTGAGGCGAGAGCTCCAAGTACCCGGACATGTGCACACTGAAAGTTCACTTTCTTTCGATCCTTACTACTGGCTTCGAAGCTTCGAGGGAGCCACTAGACGTGAGGTTTCTTGGGGAGCAAGGACATTTGGACAGCATTGAATGTGCGACTGTTTCGTCAAGCTGTGGGTTGGCATGATTGCAAACTTTCACCGCTGAGGGCCCATGCCCATTGTGGACGGCATCGAAATTTTCAGCGTGAAGCTGGTCGACGGCTTTACGAAAAGCTTGTGTGTCCAGGCCATCTTCGCGCTGCTGCACAAGCTGGACTGCTTGGTTGCACATATTAGACCTGCTGTGGCTGGTTTTGTTTGTCTGTGTGTGTGTGTGCGCATGCATGACTTGAGTTTGTGGTTGTCTGTGTGTGTGTGTGTGTGTTTGTTTGTTTGTGTGTGTGTGTGTGTCTGTGTCTGTGTGTCTGCGGGTGTCTTTGTGTTTGTATGCCTGTACGAGCGTGTGGGTGGGTGTGGGGGGAGGTGGGTTTGGGTGGGCGAGGGGGTGGGCGGGTGGGCAGGGAAGTAGTTGGAGACAGATTCTTGGGATCCAGACATGCATGCGAGGACATCACTTTTCAGGAGTTGGCCGAGGACGACAGTATGGCGATGTGTCTGGCAACCCTGAAGTACCTAAAGGGTAACTTCAAGAGGCACGAGCGCGAGGAAGAGTATCTCTACGATGCTCTTGCGTTGACCCAGCGGACTGGAGAGAAACAGCAGGCCAGTCCGATGGAGTTGGTCTCTGTGTTCAGTGAGGCAATTCGTTTGAAGAAGACCATCGGTGCCAAATCAACCCGCGACCTTCTCAACCTCTGTGTCCAAGATTACAATAAGGTCGTCGGGAAGGCCAGGGATCCGTCAAAAACGTTGAAAACCTTCTGGATTCTGTAGAGTCCCTGTTCCAAAAACAACATAATGTTTCAATGTCAACCCGAACCTTAAGTTTAAGGCCGAAGTACAGTAGCTAGGTTTATTGGTTCGCGACCCCTAGTTTATGAGTTAGTATATAGCATGTCTGGTTTAGGGGAGACTTTCTGATACCTGTCAGGGGCAGAAGCTCAAGCAGGAAACCGTGAAGATCATCTACAATGTTGTGCGATGCCCTTTGGTTTTCAAGGAGACCTTGATGACCATGTACAGTGACTACCGGCACTTCAATGCAGGTTGTGAGCTTTGCTTTGAACTTGACATTCAGAGCAGTTTCAGAATCAAAGTTGTACAGTGTAACACATGTTTATCCCTGTCAGCTCTCACGCTCGACAATCTGGCTGGTGATTTCTACATGCATGGGACCGATTTAGCAAAGAATGACAAGGGGAGATGGCCGGAGATCCTCGTTTCTCAGTTGCAGCCAAATGTTAGCTGAGCTTGGGTTATAGTCATCATCGTTGGTGCTTGTGTTTGTGCTCGTGCACATGAATGTATGCAGGCGTGATCGTGGCTAAGGTCCAATCCAGATATATATTTATATGTATATATATTCATATTTTTATTTAAGTTTCAGGTTGGTTTCCATGAGTGGAGTTGGGGCAGCTTGGGTAAATCGGATGCATTGGTGCTAGTATCTATAATATAGAAGGCTTTTGGTATATCACAGAGTGCGCCCTCAGCCACTTCCAGTTTGCCGCCCGGCCCCGTAGTGTAACCAGGATTTGGTTTAGATGCTTTACGCCTATTGGGGAGCCTGGGCTTAAGTATCGTATGCAGGTCTTGTTCAGTCCATGTACCAGCGGGTTGATGTCACAGTGGAGTGGACGGACCTGTGTTTGTTAGCTGTCCTGGCTCTGAGTGCCTGTTGTCCTAGTGGACTGAAATCCAAGCCATCCTCATGGCGGAAGGGCCACAAGGATCGGAGGCTCGTGGCAGAAGAACGAGAAGGCCGAGAACGTCAGAAGAAAAATTCCCGAAAGGGTACTTCGATTCGGAGATCGCCATTGATTTCATCCAGCTAGGAATATACAGCATTCCACAGATCTACCGTCGTGCCGAGACCCTGAGCAAGTCCGTGCCCGGCTTGAATTAGGTTGAGTGTGTCTGTATTGTTTGGATAATAAGATACTTAGATTTGAGCAGCATCAGAGTGACGCAACTTTATTCTTCATGCAGGCATGTGCATCAGCACGGGCTTTGGGCCGGAGGCTTCACCGTGTCGTTCAAAGTCACGAGATGACTCGAATGGGGCTGGAGGACCATCGGTAGAGACGAATGCCAGGGCCAATTCTTTTGTATGGCTCGCCAATGGCTCGCCAGTGAGAGCTTGTAATTGGATGCATTCCTCAGCCAGCCAGGGGTGGGATTTTTCAGTGTCATATCGGACATCGGGCCCCAAAATAGATAGTACATTGAATTGTGCAATAACCAGCCAAGGAAGAAATTCAATGTATTCTGGACAGCCAGAGTCCCGACCCGGAAAAAACATTGAATCCCAGGAATCATTGTATTTATAGATAAGCAGAAGCCTTTCAATGTATTTCTAGGATATAGATCCAGGACCATCAAAATACATTGGTGCCGCCCAGCAGAGAAACAAATACAGTGATTCCCAGGATTCGCTGTATTTCTGGACACGGAAGAACAGCAGCCAAAAATACATTGAATTTTCTCAATCTAAGAAATCTAAGACCAAACACATTTCACACACAGACAGTCTCTCTCTCTCTCTCTCTCTCTCTCTCTCTCTCTCTGCCTTTATGTCTTCTAAGCACAGAGCTGCTGGAATCAACCACAGATCGGTTTGATGATGTCCGTAGTCTGCAGTGCTGCAAACACCTATATCCTTTGACATCGTGGTTTCAGGTATGTTGCTGGGCAGATTGAACTCCTTATTTATACTCCTTGCAAACATAGGCAAGGGTTTGAGATGACATAGGAAGTGGCTCACCTCTATGTTTCTGCAAGTTAGCATGTTTCGACTCCAGATGCTATCGTCTGCAAGAATGCAAAAGAGCTGTGAGTGTGTGAGTGCAAACATTGACGAGCCACGGTCGAGATGTTGCTTCCACAATTTCAAAGTAGTTGCTGCTGCTACGAGTCGCCTTTGCAACTGGGGACCCTGGATATGGAGCTTCGTGGAGTTGTCAGGGTTCGGGATCCAGCATGGAATCCGGAGAAGATGGGTTTTCCTGGAAGCTCGGGGAAATATGCAACATGAGTTCATGGAGAAAGGGCAGGCCACTGTTCAGAATGCTTTGAGGGTGGCCGAAAAGTCAGCCTTTGATTTGTTCCTCAGCCAATTGGAGCAAGACCAGAGTTTTTTTCCGAGCGCTCCTTTGCTGCATTTGAATGCATAGCACATGTGTGCCCGGTGCAGCAAGATGCTGTCGATTCCAAGGGAGCTTCTCAGAACGTCTGGGGACTCCGAAAGGAAGCGCCAGGCTGCAGTTGCAATGCTGGAGGCCGGGAA